ACCCAGTCTCTGGATGCTGCTTACTGAGAACTAAGACCAGGACTTCAGAACCACACAAGCAGTCCTAGATGCCTAGCTGTGATGATACTGACAGTTCCTTCCCTCTGTTGGCCCTGTTATAACATTGTAGTTGTACTATACTATTAATAATGACCCCGAGGCAGTCTGTTTTGCAGAGATATTAATGTGACAGTTTGTAAGAGGCAGGGAGATACTGACTCAGAGAAGTTAAGAAATCAGGGAGCTGGGTGGTCCAATCTAAACTTTCAAACATGGCATGTGTTGGGAGGTGGATGGAGAAGGGACCAGTAGACCCAGTGCAATAACTCTTCCCAGTAATAGCATAATGCAAGAGAAAACGTGACATACATTCCAGTATTCCATCTAGTGATGGGACATATCCTTGAGATCTGATACACACACACACACACACACACACACACACACACACACACACATCTGCATAAGCCTGACAGGATTCTCCTCTTTCTGCTCTCTGCTGTTTTCTTCTGCTCTCCAGCCTACCTGCCTGTGGATTCTGACCAAGTTGCTTTCTGGGAGAGACATCCTCATCCCCATTTACTTTCAGACAAAGGAAAGCTGCTGGGTCCTGAACCTGCTTAGAGACACTGCCCAAAAGTATCTGGTATGCAGGTCCTAAAGTTGAACTTCAAGGACAGTGGTCGATATATTTAGAGTGGATATTGTATGGGACTACTGGGAGGTCGTGTTGTCTGAGATTCCAGAAGTTGAACCCACCAGCGACCTCCATAGTCTCCATCACGGCGCCGCCACTGGATGAGGGTCGCGACACCGAGCTGGTCTCCACCTCCTGTCAGCCTGCGCTCTCTGGTCAGCCTCTGACTCCCTTGGGGGTTTCCTCAATGACGCCGAGTGGTCTGGGGGTTCAGCTTCCAACTGCCTGCGGCTCGGGTCTCTGAGACCCTCCTGGCCTGGCCCCCCGCGTGGCTCTGCAGGCGCTGCGGCCTCCCACGTAGCGTTTTGAACAGGGTCGGTGCAAAGGCAAGAATGAGCGTGGGGAGTGGGCAGGGTGAGCAGAGGCTCTAAATCTTCCTTCAATCTGTGAGTGGATGAAGTCTGAGAAACAAATTCAAAGCAGGCGCGCCTGCAGAGCCTTCCTGCAGAAATAGTCCCCAGCATTCAAGCGCATCCAGGGGCTGCTCAAGCTGCCTTGTTTGGCTAAGGTCAGACGAGACTCGAGTTCTCCAATAAAAATAAATCTCAAATTAATTATGGCCTCGAGCGAGAGGCCAGACACTTGAAGCTGCAGTTGTGCAGTCTGGAGTTTTGGCGCTCGCCTGCCCACCCCTTCCCCCGCCCCCTTCCCCAGCCACCCCACTCCCACTTTGCCAGCCAGATACCCTCTGAACTGGCTGGGAGAAGGCTTTGCCCGAGACGCTTTGCCAGACCTGGCATCTTTAGGAGCTTCAAATGACTCAGCTGTCACAGGGTCCTCCGGAGGCACCCCAGGGATCAGGCTCCGATTCTCCAGTCCTCCCACTCCCGTTCCAGGCTGGGACCAAAGGATCCCGGGAAGCTTGTGTCTGGAAAGTCTTGACCCGGTCAAAAGGGCTGACATTGAGCGAGCCAAGACACGTTTTGTCGGCCGTTCCCCTCCCTGGGGAAGCAGGACTTCCGCATCTTTGAAATTGTCAAGTGTGTATGGTGCAAAGCAAGTCGTCTCATCAACGCTTTGACGAAAATTCTCCAAATTCAAATGCTTCCTAAATATTCACCCACATGTGTGTGTCTTCTATACAATTTAGAAACGCGCCAGGATGTTTTGTTGTTGAAATCTTTTTTCCTCCAGTTGGAGGTTTTAAGAAAAAATGCTTAGCCTGGCTTCCTTGGCTAAATGGGCTTCCCCTCACATGAAAATCAAGAATGAGCTGGTGGGACAGTGGCGATGGTACCATACCAAGTCCTAGTCCCCAGCCAGACCCAGTCTGAGAAACAGTGAAGCTCTGCAGTCCTTGGAGAGCCAGGAAAGAGGGTGTGCACCACTGTGTGGGCAGGGGCTGCCATTCCCTAGCCCTAAACTGGTAGGCAGGGAGGAGGACGGTGGAGAGACGCTGAGAGCCAGAAAAGGGGGGGGGGCGAGGAAAGGCAAGGGGAGTGAGAAGTGAGAGAAGGGGAGGGACCTGCCCTCTCCCAGCACAAGACAGTTTTCATTTGCAGCAGGCCTCACCGCAGGCTCTCTATCAATTTGTCTCAATGCAAACATTCAAAATATTCTCTTTGGCTGCTCATGAAAACAATGTGAGCTGCCAGGATCAAACCATCTTTCCAGATGTCTGGTGGTAACCACATGAAACAGGGCAGACTTGTTTACTGTTGTGTTTGGTTAGGGCTTTCCCCCCTTTGGGACTTAAAAAAGAACCAGGAGGATAGAGTGGAGCACCAAACCCAGAGTTACATAAGCGAGCAAACTTGCCCACCAGGGCAGCAACATGGGATGGAAGGAATCTGACACTTTATCCTAAATCTGCTCAAAACTGGGGGATTGTGCCTTTTTCTGGGTGGAGATCCCCTGTGAATGGACAGTAGGTTTCAATAGAGGGTATGGTAATAAATAGCAAAAGACTACAATGGTACCTACGTCTATATAAGCAAGGAGGAGCAGGGCTCTGGCTCTGTGTGTGTGTGTGTGTGTGTGTGTGTGTGTGTGTGTGTGTGTGTGTGTGTTGGCCTCTCCCCTCCCCCCAAAAATTGTGAAATTGCTTTAGTGTCAGTTTTCAGGCAGAGGCCAAAAGTGCTCTTTAGTTCTCCAACTAAGATGGGAGTTCAAGTCTTCATTTTGATCTGGACTCTTGTTGAACTGCTCAGATGAGATGAGAAATTGGGCTCACTGAAGTTGGGGGTTATTCCAGGGACTGCGGGTCAATGTAGCAAAGATGACTGTTACTTCTCAGATCAGCAGAAGTTGGAAAGAAACACCTGATGATTGTCTGCTACTTGGTGCTGCTTTCTAAGGGCGTTTGGGTTAGTCGCTGCTCATGGGGTGGCTATTAGTGGCCTCTGGGACTGTCCAGTGCCTGGAAGGGGGACCTCCTCATTGTGAAGTAAACAGTCCTTTTGGGCAGAGAGGCGCGGGGTATGGCTTGGGTGCACCCTCCAGAAGGCTACGTTGTCGTTTGAATGTCTGTAGAGTCTGGGCTGAAAAGGAAACAATTTGGGGTTTGAAAGGATGTAATTCATTCTTCCTTTCCCTTTAACCTCTTTCCTCTCTGGAAAGCATGTGGAAACGCTGTAGGGAAGAGCAAGAGGGCGGGAGGCCCGGCCGCAGGCAGGAAAGGGTTAAGCCTGATTTCTTTTAATTGAACTCCAGAACTGGTGGCCCCAGGCAAAGGGGGGGACTGACCCCGCTAGCGGTAACCAGATGTGGCGGTCCCAGGGGAGCCCCGGAGCAGACCCCTGGATTGAGAAGCAGACAGGAGGAGGGGGAGTGGGCCTGGCCCCCACCCCACCCCCCACAGTAAACCGAGTTTCAATTGCTGGCAGGCTGCACCGCCACTCCAGGTCTGGTCACGTTCAGACCCGTGTCTGTATTCGAACCCCAAATTGGAGCTGAATTGATGAGACTAATTTGGATAGGGGGGAGGGGAGGGAGGGAGGCGAGCGAGCGCAATTGCTCCTGAAGAAATAAAGAATTAATAAGTCACCTTTTTTGCCGCCGTGGACACCCTCATTTTGAATTTTTTTCCAATTTATTCGGATCTGCTCTGGATTTTTCCCCCTCTCTTTTCCCGGGAGGACTCTTAAATAAAAGTGAGAAAGTCCACAGCGTGGTCTGAAGAGCGTGAATAAGGTAACCTGTTTTGGAGGTTGGGGAGAAGGGAGTCAGGCCGCGAGCGCCGGTACCCCAGAGGCAGCCTGAACTAGAGCGCTCTTGGGTCCAGGATGGGAGGCGGGAGATCTCAGAGAGGGCCCGGTGGGCAAAGGGAGTCACGCCACTGGGTGGGGGGTGACAGTCCCCAGCTCAGACACTAGGGCCACTGGGTCTGCTCTGAGAAGGTTGGGTCTGTACTGAGCTTCGGGGTGCCGCGCTCCCTGGTCCTGTTGAGTTGTTCGAGGGGAGTCTCGCCCCAGTGTCAGTTCCTTGGGGGCTGCGATGGTATCGAAGGGCAGAACTAGATGCTTGGCCGCTGGGTCCACACAAGTCAGAGGATTAACATACAAAAAAGGCATGGATAAGTGGCCTAGGATGCTAGGATGCGCCTGTCCTTCTCCTTAGCAGGCTTGGGGAGTCCGGAGTAGAGGCGCGTCAAAGTATGGGCGCCTCTCTCCTAACAATGCTCGAGGTGTTGAGTCACACCCTTGACAGCTCAGGTCCGCGAGTCTAGCTGCTCTAAAGCCCAGGGCTTGATGCTAAAAATTCTTTCAAATGCTTTCCTTCTCTCCTTCCTCCCTCCCACCCACCCTTCCTTCCTTCATTCTTTCCTTCCTTCCTTCCCTCCCTCTCTCTCTCCCCTTCCTTCCTCTCCTTTCTTTCTTTCTTCCTTCCTTCCCTCTCTCTCCCCTTCCTTCCTCTCCTTTCTTTCTTTCTTTCTTTCTTTCTTTCTTCCTTCCTTTCTTTTTTCCTTCCTTCCTTCCTTCCTTTCTTTCTTTCTTTCTTCCTTTCTTTCTTTCATGGAAGGTTTTCCTTGATCTGCGTCCGAATCTCCTCTGGCAGTCGGCGCCAGGTTATCCCTTTGCTAGCAAATTCTCCCGCCTTCTTCCTCCCATCCCCGAAAAGTTTGAGTCCGGCTGGAAAAAGCATTAATGAATGTATCTGTGGGAAGAAACGGAAAGTGAATGAGTCAGGAGGGCCACCTTCGGCCAAAGGCCCAAGGGAAAGGAAAGAGGCCAGAGGCGTTTGTTTGGCTTTGGATTTGGGGGGGAAGGTGATGGGGGAGTTGCAGACTGCAGGAATCAGGGCGCGGACACTGGGCGTAGACCCCGTCATTGTTCCTGGCCAGCTCTTATCTCCCAGGAGCAAGTATCCTGTGTGCGCAGTGCATGAATGTATCTGGGCATCTCCGCGTATATTTATATAGCGAGTGATGCGAAAAGCAGGGCTAGGCGAAGAGAGGAAGAGGGGGGTGTGGGGGAGGAAAGACAAGAGAGAGCAGAGAAGAGAGAGGAGAGGGCGAGGAGACAGGAGAGAGAGAGAGAGAGAGAGAGAGAGAGAGAGAGAGAGAGAGAGAGAGAGAGAGAGAGAGAGATAGGACTTCCTCCCCGATCGCAAAGTGAAGTCACTTCCCAAAATTAGCTGAAAAAAAGTTTCATCCGGTTAACTGTCTCTTTTTCGATCCGCTACAACAACAAACGTGCACAGGGGAGCGAGGGCAGGGCGCTCGCAGGGGGCACTCAGGGAGGGCCCAGGGCGCCAGAGAGGCCGCACCGTGCTAATCTGAAGGGGCTACGAGGTCAGGCTGTAACCGGGTCAATGTGTGGAATATTGGGGGGCTCGGCTGCAGACTTGGCCAAATGGACGGGACTATTAAGGTAAGCAACGGGACAGTGGGATCCGGGCTAGGGCCGACCGGGGCTACGGGAGGGCTGGGCGCCGGGGTCCCGGAAGACGTGGCCGCTCACCCTTCCTTCCGCGCCCCGGCTTGCGCCGTCTCCTCCGGGTGGCGAGTCCCCCCTTTCCGAGGAGGCCGGCCAGCCTTCCCGCCTAGGGCGATCTACCCCTCACTCCTTATGGCACAGGCTCCCACCGCGCCACACGCGGGGCTGCAAGACCCGGCAGCTGAAACCTGGGGAGCCAGGGCGCGGGCTAGAGTCTGGGGCAGGAGATCACCGGGTGGTTACCACCCGGCACCCGGGCGCCCTGGCTCCGGCGCCGGGCACTCATCTGGCCACAAGCTTCCTCTTGCCAGAGGCCGAGAGCAGCGCGGGCAGAGGGAGCGTTCGCCGCCGGCTGGGGTCCCCATCCCCTGGGCCAGTTAGAGGATTAGCTGAAGGCGGGGAGGGGTGCAGAGGAGTGTGTCTGAGGATCCGGCAGAGCCGGTGGGTCCAGATGGAAGCCCCTGTTTACACGTCAGCCAGACTGGTTTCTCTTCCCCTCACAATGCTGCTGCCCGGCACTCTGCTGAAGCTGGCTATCCGGAGCTAACGGTCCACCTCGCCGCTCCCCGGTCTGGGAATCTCCTGGCTCGGCCGCTCCCCTGCACCCCAGATCCCACACTCCGTGCATGCGCCAACTTCTGAGCAAGGGTTCCAGGAGCTGTCCTCTCAGTAAGAATTAAGCTCCTTTACAGCCATCTGCCTGTGGTGACTGGTTCTGAGCCTGTGGCCTGGGCTGTCTTGCCGATTCCACCCCCAATCTGCGCCGCCCCGCCTGGGTCTAGGTTGCAAAGTGCAGCCCAGAAGACCCGTGAGTCTGGGTTCCCTGTCACGCTTCAGAACGGCTGACTGCTCCCTCTGAAAGGGGGAAGTGGGGTCAGGAGCAGAGAAGGGACACCCCCTTACGTGACTAGCCTTATAGGACTTAGGAGAATGAATGAGACCAGACGTTAGCTTCAAGGCTGCCATACAACACCAAGCAGGAGTTGGTCTGGAAAAACTATCAGGCTGGTGAGGTGGGGACTGGCAGAGCCCGCCATTCCCCAGTACCCAGAGGAATCAACTTCCTACCCATGGGTTGACTGAGAGGAGGTTAAGGTGCTGGCTGGGCTTAGAGAATTCAACAGATTCTTATCTTCTGGGTGGGGTCAAAGTGTTTTTATTTTCTAAGATCTCTCTCTCTCCTCTCTCTCCTCTCTCTCTCTCTCTCTCATGAAACGTGCTGACTTAAGTAAAAGGCACTAACTGAAGGAACTTGAAAACACAGATGAGATAATTGATTATAGAGGAGTTTTAAAGACAATCTAATAGCCACAGGTTTGGCAAACTTGACTTGAGTGGGTGGGTGAGAGGATTGCTCTAGAGACCTGAGTGCGGAGGTCACTGGGCCTTTTCACCGGTTTCCCTGCTTCCTGTTGGTGAGTTCATACAAGTGCCTGCAAAGAACCTTCACATCCACATTCAGAACACTTTCTACTAGCGCCTGAAGACGACTCCCCTTGGGTCCAAAAGGATGGCAATATGGCACCAGAGGCTTTATGTGGGCACTGTGAAGAGACCTGAAGCAATATCTGCACAGTGTTTCAGACCTCTAAGCACAGGCCCTGAGCCTTGGAGGAAGCTGTGGTCTGTGTACCCAGGATGTGTTAACCTCGCTTTATGCACACTTTGGGATGGGCATGGCAGGCATTGAAAGCAGTCTTAGACTAGGAGCTTGGCACTTCATAACAAAGATGGAGGTGAGGGCTCTTTTACGATGACTGATGGGAGCCCATGAGCCCCTCCCAAGTCTCCCAAGAAACACCTTGTTTCTGGGTGACTTGACTTCACAGCCACCACAACTTTTCAAGCTCTTCTGTATGTCAAGGTTCTGGAAGAGTGGGTCTTTAGTGTAGCCTTCGACCTTTTAGCTGTATAGATGCCATGGGCTCCTGTTTACAAGTAACTTTTGTATTTGGAGGATCACAGACCCTACTTACACAATGGTTCAATGCCATGCTTGGTATAAATACTGAGGTATACTGAATTGGAAGAAGGGTCAACCAACTTCTGATTGTGTTGTATGAATTCACAGCTATTAAGTCTCTTTGAGCTTCACTGTCTTCATAAGAACCTGGGGGATTTCCTGACACTAATGTTTCCAGCTACTGGTACACTAGACCACCATATTGCCCTATACTGACAGAGGTCAGAAGGCACTATAGATAGAATCTAATCTGTAGATGCAAACTCTGGGTATAAGGTGCTAGTTTGAACTGCTTAGAAAAATCAGCTTTGAGGGATTCTGTGATGCGATTTTGTGCACCTGCATGCATCTTCCTCAATCACAAAATTTAAAAATGCCTGTAGGTCTTAGTGTTCAGGATGTACATGGTTCAGGATGCCAGAAAGTCTGGATTTCTTTACAGCAGCCCTTGGTTTTGTTTAGCACTCACAGAACCCTTTGGTGTTAGAAATTCCTATTCATGTTGCCTTTCTAAATTGTGTTCTTCACTTATCAAAGAATGTCTCTTGGGAGAACTCATTTGGAGAGTCTCATAATCTGTTTGCTCCTCTTTAGCTATAGACAAGTTAACCTGGCATGTTAAACAACACCCTACCCCACCCTTGCTCCCCACAGTGATATTATCAGTGTTGGAAAGCACGTGATACTGTGATACTGTGTGCAGCTTAAAGAAATGACCTGGTTTCAAAACCCCATCTTAGTTCTAGGCAGGCTTCCTTTGATCAGATTGATGCCATCTATAGATGTATGAATGTAAAATGCTCCATCAACTATTGGGAATCAACCAGAGAAGAGTTAGACATGTGCATAAAATTGGGACATAAGGAAAGGAAGGGAGAACTTGGAGAAAGCCTAGGTTCATCCTCATTTCTACTACTTACTGTAGGTGTCATAGTCAGGCTCTGAGGACTTGGGTCTCAGTTTTCTCATCTGCAGTCCAAGTCTATGGCAAACTTCTTTAGATAAGTCACAGTGGGGATGAGATAAAATCCGGTATCTTTGGTGAATACATGTTCATTGAATTTCATCTTGGGTTAGAACTTGTAGAGATGTGTTGGCCCAACAGAAGAACATAGATCTAAATTTATCACTCCCCATATTTCATGACTTTGATTTGTATTTGTGATGTACTTCTCATGCTTGTGGCTCTACTTTATGTCTTTGGATAAACAGCGATTGAATGTCTCTAGGGAAGGTGATGGATCCAATAAAAACTAGTGTGATGAAGGGTCACATGTGACAGTGCTGTACCAGTCAGGAGGGGTAGAACACCCCTAACAAAGAGCGGAGACAGCCCTGCAAACCACTAAATGATGACAGAGGAAAGAGTGAAGTTGGGGTTTCAGCTGAGATGTATGGAGCAGAGAAGAGCCACGTCATGCAGAAGGAAGCCTGCTACTGTCAGGGCAAAGAAACTTGGGAAGGAACCCTAGGAAGAGGCAGTCAAGAGCAAAGAAGCACACTAAATAGGGGTGATTTTGGCTTGTGTCCTCCAGGTGGGCATCCCTCCCATCACTCCAACTCAGTATCACCTAGATTGACAAAGACTCCAAGCAAACTAGATGGTCATTTTATCTGTCCTCATGACCACATGATTGCTCTCTGAAGTAATTACAAGTGAACTGCTACCGCCGAAAAGCTTTCTTTGCTCACCATTCAAATTCATAGGTTTGCAACTTTAGAGTTGTTGGAGAGCATTTCATGCTGACACTCTTATTTTTACCTTTAGGAAAACCAGGGCCCAGAATACTGAATGGAAAGCCCACAATCACAGATAACAAAGTCAGAATTTGGGGTTCGAAAAGAACAGAGTAGTGCTCTTGCCACTAAACAATGAGGACACCATTTGTCACAGTGATTAAAATTATGTAACACTGTAGAAAGAGAGGCTTAAAAAGAGCAATCATGAAATAGCTGGCACTCTAAGTAACACTTCTGTAATTTAGTAACAGATATGTTCATTCTATCTTGAATTACATCTACACACACACACACACACACACACACACACACACACACACACACCACTATCACCACCACCACCAACAACAACAACAAGCCACAATGTCCAAAATTTCAGATAGGCTTGGAAAATACTAATGTTTTCCAAAATGGATCTGCTTTGACTATATGCAACACTAACAAAGTTTCCATTATCAAGAAACTACCCCAAGTATATCATTACTTAAATAACCAACAGATCCCTCTACTTATGGTGGGCAGGTATAACATATGAATTTTTCCCCTTTAAATGAAATACTCTAAGATGTATTAGAACACACCTAATAGATCTACTTTCTAAACAGCAAAGCAAAAAAAAAAGGTCTTTAATAATAACCCCATTAAATAAGATTTAAATTTTCAGTGTCTTCTTTAGTTTGAGATTGAACAATTAAGTTGGCATTGGTTTTAAAAACTGTTTGGCTGAAATCACCCCCTTCCCCCAGAGATGTAGCATTAGTCCAATTCCCTCCCAGTAAAAACAAAGGAAAAATCTTGGCAAAATTTTTACATTAATAAGCTTCCCTTTGTTCTACCTTAAACCTCACAAAAATATCCAAAAACTAAAGTTTCATTCAGCCTAAAGCTTGGTATACCTTTCCTTAGAATAGGAAGTCTATTGCTGTGGTTCATTTAGACAATTGACTGAAGAATGTTGGCATAAATATTTTTGTTTTGAATAATATGTATTTTTGAAGATTGAATTTAAACACTTTCTATCTTTTTATTTCTCTCTCTGTCTCTCTCTCTCTCTCTCTGTGTGTGTGTGTGTGAGAGAGAGAGAGATAACATGGGCACACACATAGAGATAACAGGATAATCTGGAGTGTTGGTACTTACCTCCCTCCCACCTTATTTAAGATAGGTCTCTTTGCTGTTTGCTGTTGTGTATAGCAGTCTAGCTGGTTCAGGGTCTTCTGAAGAATCTCCT